CCATTCAAACCCAAGATTTCAGATATAAGCAGACTAGGACCAAAAGTTGAAAGAAATTAATTCTTATATATTCGAACTAATTCGTTATTCGCATTATGTTGTAGAAAATATCATGTTGATTTTTATGAAACTTTGATATTGAAACTTTATCAAAAGCTAATTTTTCCTTTTAATAGTAAAATTTGTGTAAATTAATTTTTGTTTGCTGTCGACGGGAGATGGGTCAAAAGTCTGGATATTCTAGGCTACAGACTGACGCCTCCATAGTCTCAATCGACCAGATATTTAAAAAGAAAAGTTTATTTAAGTTTGTGTAGCGGAATTCTGCTCAGATGAATTTTTTAAGAGAACTTCGCAAATTATGCTCATCTCTTTTCGAAGAGCGATAAAATGGTTTGTGATAGTTCTAGGAGTTGTGATGACAAACATTTTGCTTTGTTATTTTATTCCGGAAAATGTGCCTAGCCGTCGAAGTGAAAGACAAGAAATTTTGGCTAATGAGGACAATGGCCGCTATGGAGGGGTACAACTTCCAAAACGTATTGACAACAAACATCACTTTGGTAGACTGGAATGGAAATCACAGGTAGCAAAGGATAAGTCGATTGCGACCAAAAATGACTTGGGGAATGCGAATATTAACTCATCTAGTCGAGAAACAGACATTTCTGATGTCTTTATTAGTGTCAAAACCACTGCTAGAAATCACCAATTACGTCTGCGAATACTGTTAAACACATGGATTTTATTGGCCAGAGAACAGGTAGGTACTGTCAGACTGACTATACCAGACCGGGGTGCTAGAGATAGGCATGAGACATTAAGGTGTCCCTTTAACATGAATCGAAACATTGTATTATTATGTAAAACAATTCAGTTATTGTCAGGTTATAACTAATAACACATCTAAATTATAGTATCAACATGTACAAATATCTGATATGATATTTCTTTTACCAAGGCTTTATGCAGGATTTCAAATGGGTCTTTTATCTCTGAAGTTTGATTAATTGGTGTTTCTAATGAATTATCATATATTCTTGATTTATTGATATGATTGTGGACCTCAGATCTTCTGCATGGCTATTCTGAAGCTAAATTCTATATTAACATCATTTAGTCAGTCATATTGTTTTTTTTTTTTCATTGAACATTATTTTTTAATATAACCTCTTCAGCTACAGTCTAACAACAGCGCTCTTGAACATTCTTAGGAATGTTCATGAGGCCCTTCTTAAGACCCTAACTGAGGGGGTTATATTAAAAACTAAAGTTAATGAAAAATGGAATGAAAATTTGGTCTAATTCTAATTGGACTGATTATTTATTTAGTAAGATTATTAATTTGTTTCAGACACATATATTTACTGATACAGATGATCCTGCATTAGATAAAGAAAGAGAAAATGGTAAGTAAATTTATAGAAATAGTTCTATTTTCAAACTAATGTGATCATATTCAATACACTTCTCCAGAATGAATAACTTATTCACATGGCATTGATATTTGTGGATTATGCATCATATTTCTTTACAGCCCAAGGTTGATAAAATATTGAGGAAAAATGGCTTATTCAAAGTTTTTATATCAGATTGTTTTATGTGAAATTGTGTGAATTAATTTTGCAGGTGTGGAGATAATCAATACGAAATGTCCTCCAAATCATTCTCGGTAAGTTGAATTATAGCAATTAAAACTGTAGTTAATAAGAAATATAACTTTATATATTTGTTGGAATGTGTACTTGTATCATAAAGATTATAAATATTACAAAGTTAATAAATATCACAAAGTTAGTAAATATCACAAAGTTAGTAAATATCATAAATTTAGTAAATATCATAAAGTTAGTAAATATAAAGTTGATAAATATCATTAAGTTGATAAATATCACAAAGTTGATAAATATCACAAAGTTGATAGATATCACAAAGTTTGTAAACATTGTTAGTAAATATCACAAAGTTAGTTAATATCATTATGTTGATAAGTATCATAAAGTTGATAAATATTACAAAGTTGATAAATATTACAAAGTTAGTAAATGTCACAAAGTTAGTAAATATCACAAAGTTAGTAAATATCAATATGTTGATAAGTATCATAAAGTTGATAAATATTACAAAGTTAGTAAATATCACAAAGTTAGTAAATATCAATATGTTGATAAGTATCATAAAGTTGATAAATATTACAAAGTTAGTAAATATCATAAAGTTAGTAAATATCATAAAGTTTGTAAGCATTGTTAGTAAATATCGCAAAGTTAGTAAATATGAAATTAGTAAATATAAAGTGATAGATATATAAAGTGATAGATATCACAAAGTTAGTAAATATCATAAAGTTGATAAATATCTGTTGACCCTATATTATACATCTAGCATAACTCTGCTATAAATTGTGTTCAATGTTGTGGACCAATCAAAACTATTGTTTCAATGATACATGAATTGAGTTAAAAGGTAGAATGCTTGAAACACTGAAATAAGTGAAATAGTTGATTTGATTGATTTACATGTTTATATTCATGTCAAATAATGTCAAGAGGAATTTTGTCTTCCAGTCGAGCTCTGTGTTGTAAAATGGCTATAGAATATGATACATTCCTGGCTTCTAAGAAAAGGTACAGTATTATTTTTGACAGTACTTTAATTACAAATTTCATAGTAGTTGTAGTGTTTCACAAAACCTTAACTTAGATAGAAAATAAAGATTTTTATTAAGATACTGCAATCTGATTGGTTTATACAGTTAAATTTAAAATCAATATTAGTGATTGTCCAATCAGATAAGTGACCACTTAAATCATCCAAAGTAAAGTTTTTGTGAAACAGACCAAATATAAACTATGTTATTCCACAGATTGACCCTTTCACTTAATAACTCAGCCAACAGTGGAGTTAAATTACAATCAAACTTTCCCTTATGGGTAAGTCTCGTTTAATTTCCAAATTATGACTTTTAAACATTGTAGAATGCAGAACAAGCATAATTTTTAACATGTTTAATATTAAACCTGTCAATCATTAAGTGTACTATTGGCTTATTAAATATGACTATAATTTATATTATTCCTTATCAAGTCTTGTCATTACAATAATTTACATTTTAACCAGTGCAAGCCTTAATTTGATGCATTCTGACACATATGAAAAATGTATGAAAATCAAATATAAAAATTGGTAAGAAATGAAGTGAGGCACAAATGGGGTGTACAAACCATATATGTCTTTTTGTTGTTAGGTAGACATATATACCAGACATTTCCACAAGTTTCGTGTTGTAAGGTAGGCTTATGCCTTCAATTCTGCATCTACTAGTGCATTGCATCTGACCGTTGAACACGTTTCCTGTGCTTATGTACTAGAATTTGCATCAAGAACAACAAAGCTATACATTTATGAAAGTGCAATATATCAAACATTTCAACACTTTAATAAGATTTGTCATACAGGAAATTATATTCAAAATGTACAATGAGACTTTTTTGATTTTAAGGAGTTCTTAACAATAGAACTAAATGTATTCAGAAGATTTTAATTATTTTCTCTGATTCACAATAAATGGTAGATCTATGTCAGTCTGTAAGGTTATTGTTAACTGCAAGATACAAGTACATATACATGGGAAAACATTGGGTACTAATAATTGAAGACTTGTTGACATTGTCCAAATATACTCTGAAGACATAGGGTTGTATCAGTAAAATAAAACTTCCAGTCCTTGCCAAACAGTTCTTTGATATTATTTGAGAAAGGAGTTTTGAGTTGTATTTTGTCAATAGAAGTACAGTTGATTTGAGAGTAGATAATAACTAAATAATCTTTCTGTATTATCTTAAAATAAATATGGTAGAAAAATTCACTTTCATGTTTGATTAGTATTTTTTATTAGAAAAGAACTAAAAGTAAAGTCTGGTATATTTTAAAGTGGCAGTATGCACAATTTTTATTATTAAAAACATTGTGAATTATACAAAAATTGTTCCTTAAAGATGGGTTTCCTTATTTGTTAGTGACAAATTTAGCAAACTATTTGATTAATTGGTGTTTCTAATGAATTATCATATATTCTCAATCATACCATTATGTTCTTTATTGCAAATAATTAAGAGTTTTAACTAATCATAAATGTCCATGTATGAACAGTCTGGATAAACAAAAAAAGACTTTTTGACCTTTCTTGATCGGTCACTCATTGGAATTCTGCTGGTAATTCTCTTTTAATTTAGCTAATTAGGTATTATTAGACATTAGACAAACTGGTATTTTTCCAAGTCATGAGAATACCTCTACTTTCTATTCATATAAGTATTAGGGGAACCCATCTTTAAAATGGTTAGATATTTTTAGTTGAAACCTTCAGAATAAGTAGGAGACCTATTTCTCTACAATTTGGTGTTTATTGTGCTGGAAAGTGTACTTTAGTTTTCTCCAACAACAACCTAAAAACATAGCAACTATAAAATGTTAAACTTTTAACTAGTTTTGATTTCTAGAATTTGCAGAATTATACTTTAAGTTAAGACTTAATATGTTAAGGGACCTATTTTTCTAGATTTTGTAGTATAGTTGTCATAAATTTGAGCAAAAAAAAAATTTCTTTAAAATTCAGACTGCCCCTTTAATGTAAAGTGTGTTCATCTCTATGACTCATTTTGAAGGACATCATTTTTAAAACTTGTGAGTTTCATTCAAAATCACAGTTGACTGTCACTTTTGATAGTTCAAAAAAGAACATAGTGATGTGACTACGTAATGAGATACCACAATACACTGTTATATTACACATGTTCTTAATATTATAACTTATAATAACTTATAAATATTGAACTCATATTAAATACAATACATGGTATTTGTGGGGTTTTTTCATATTAGCAATTCGGACCTGCATCATTAAAAAATTGCAAATATAAAAATTTGGTGAGAGGAGAAAAGTTGTTCACGGATATAGGAAAGACTGATGGTCTAGATAATAGTTATGAGAAATATTTGCTGAATTCTGGTGTAGTCTAATTAATAAGGAAGGAAGTCAAGAAGGAAGTTAATAAGATGAGAATTAGGCCAGGAAATAGATAAGATATTCAGGAAAAGATACTATTCATAAATGAATATGTAGATCTTCATTTTTCCTAAATTTTATACATTAAATTGCTTATGACCTCATTTCTGTTCTACTGATCTGATTGGTCAGATTTAAATGCCACCAATCTCATTTCCATGCCTACAAAACGAAGTGTAGTGGGCTTAGTTTAATATGGGTTAATAAGACAATGTCAAAACTCGTATTCATGATACAATGTAGTTACATCAGCAATCTGGTGTTTTCAAAGTCGTGGAGTAATGGAGGCAATTTAGGCAAAGGCCTCACTTTTGATATGAAGACCAAACTTTTCTTTTTGTAATCATGTACATCATTGCATTTTGAATCAACTCATTCCCATCTGACCTCATTTTAACTTAGAATGCACAACGACCTTGCCTTAGTTTATGTCATCTTCACAATATCAAGCTATCACAAACTCTTGACTGCAATAGCCACCTTTTGAAAATGCAGCTATTTGATTGGATTGAACGAATACAACCAATCATAACCCTTGATTACCAGTGCAGCCAAATTGTTTACAGTCTTTCTGTTGAGCACACTGATTGGCTGTATCCAATCAAATTGCTGCATTTACAAACTGCCCTGATACAAGAAAGGTGGCTATTGCAGTCAAGGTATTAAGCTGCAGTTCATAATAATTTGACATAGTGAAGATGGGCTAAATAGATTTTTAATTTTTGATAGAAATTACTGATATGATTATGTATAAAATTTCCACAAAAAGTATAGAAATTGGGAAGACCATGTATAGCCAGCATTTATTAGTCAAAACAAACATTACTGGTAAATGATGAGATACATTAACACCTATTGAATGTGACCATTGTTTGTTATTTCAGGTGGTTCTGTCATGTAGATGATGATAACTATGTTAATATACCTCAGTTAGTTAAATTATTACGTCAATATAATCATACACAAGATTGGTATTTAGGTAAACCTAGTCTGCGTAAACCTTTAGAAATAATGGACAGAAAACATAGCGGGGTAAGACAGATTTTTGATAGTAATAATATAATCAGGTGTATTCTGATATTCTTCACAAAGTTTTCATTCAATTCAAATATCATCATATAACCATTATTTAACCCACCAAAATTTGAATCTGTAATACTTATTATATGTACAGATGTCAATATTCAAGTGATATGGATTAAAGTGTATGACATTAAGGGCTGTTTCACTGGCTGCTCAGTTATTATATAACGTAATGATGTAACAGCTAATCTAGCCGCTATTTTCTGAAAGGGTGAAGTCTCACCTTACACATTTGAGAATTTATAAACAGTTTTCATCATAATGTATGATTAAACATTGAATATCAAGTTTAATTGATTAGAAACAGAGTTAATGCCCTTGTCTATGAATTAGAATTCCTTGAAATAATTGAAAATTAGGTCATCAATTCAGATGGAGTTTTTAAAAACCATTTGCAGTTCACTTTATATTTACAAAAACCTATGACATTACGGAAGAAATGAGTGTTTTATGTCACTTCATTTCTATTTTTTTTAGCAAAAAATAGCTTTCTGGTTTGGTACTGGTGGTGCTGGATTATGTATAAGTAGAAGTTTGGCCCTGAAAATGATGCCATATGCCAGGTAAGTAAAGCATTGGCAGAAATTGTGGGAAATCATCATTGGGTTTTTGTTCAGGATAGCTTAAATTAAGCATATGAAGACTGGCAATGTCATACAGGGTGCAATGAAAGAATTTTTGCCAGAACAGCAGCATTAGTCTGCTCTTTTTAGATTTCCAACTGTGGAAGGATCTTTAACGTGCTTAGCCTGTAGCACACGGGGCCTCAGTTTATTGTCCCATCCGAACAACTAGATGCTTTTTCCTTGTCAGTCCCTCTTACCTATATCACTGACAGCGAAACCAGGTTGAAAAATCTGAAGATATGATTTCAATAAGTATATGAAGAGAAAGAACAGATAGAGTATATTATTTATTTTAGTGGTGGTAGATTGATGACTATTGGTGAATCTATAAGGTTACCTGATGATTGTACTATGGGTTATATAATTAGTAAGTTATATCTTTATTTTCACTAGTATACAAACTCCTTAAACAATCTCTCAATATGAACTTCTTAATAGTTTATCCTGTTCATAGAGTTTACCTTTCCTTGGTTCGAACTGATTAAAATGAAAATTGGAGTTTCATGTTTTTGCTGCAGATAACTTCACTTGCAATCAATGGTCTGGTAAAATTGTTATGCCTCTCATGTTCTAGGTCATATAATATTCAACCAATCAAATACTAGTCAACAGGAGATTTATTTGTCTATATGTGAGGAATTCTGTATAATTCCATAACTTTACAGTAAAAAGTTTCTTGATTCTAATTGGTTGGCAAAAATTATGACTATTTTATTAGATTTTAATTCAGAAAGTTATTACTGACAGCTGGTAAAATGAATATTATGCAAAAACTTCATCTATATCTAAATTCCAATATATGTCTTTTTTAATCATTAATTTAGGTCATTTAATGAAAAAACAGCTGACAGTTATTGAACAGTTTCATTCTCATTTAGAATCTTTAAACTTGATGTCAAAAAGAGACTTAGTTAATCAGGTATGTTTTGCTCAGATTTGTCCCAATGTAAAATTCCCACCCCAGCAAATTGTGATGCCACAGCCAGTGCTTCTAAGACTGTTGAAATTTGAACATTTATCCATATGTTTCCAGAATTAACGGTTATGGTCTATTCTTGAAAGACTGCCTTATATAGAAAAGACATGTATGAAAATGGAAAAGAAATTCCTATTTTTTGAATGAATTATGTAATTTACGTACATTTCTAGTACTTTTGTAGACTATTTATAAGACCCAAATCAATCCAAAAAATGGCAAAACTGTCCCTTTAAATGAGTATTAATAATATTTTGTGGCTTTATTGCCTGAACCTGTTCCAGAGATAGTGACAATTGTTGTGCTTAAGTGGAGGTGCTAGCCTCCTGAGACTGGGGGTACAAATAGGGGATACACTGATTTATGGGAGGACAACTGTCAAGTTTGAAATTCAAAGTATGGCAGCACATATAAAGTGTCTGATAAAATTCTTCACCAAGAAACTTTTGAAATATTTTATTGGTTTTGTGCATTTTGTATCCCCACCGTATCTGGTTTGTGCCAGCAGTCCATTGTTAAAAAATTATTGAGTATTTTTTTTTTCAATTATTATGTTTTGTAGATAACATATAGTTACAAATATCAAGATAAAACTAAAAATATTTTAAATATTGACGGTTTTAGTATAAAACAGGATCCTACAAGGTAATTTCTACATTGTTATTTTAGGTGGTCTAGCAATTTGCCTTTATCTAGGACAGGGTTCAATTTAAGCAGTATTGCATCACAGTTTGCACACCAAAATGACCCCTTCGTGTCCCAATTTTTCCAATGATTAGCCAAAAATGTAATTTATCTAGAAAATCTAAAAACATACGGCAGTTTCCAGTTCCCTAGAGATTTAAGCAAGTTAGATCGTTAGCAAGATCGATCTGAAGTATACAACCAGAAAATTTTGAATTGCTAGCAAATTTTTATAAAATGCCAATCAAAATTTGATTAGTCAAAACTGAAATTTGTTGTTTATGCTGTCAGTAATTTTTGGTGAATATTTTTAGTTTTTCTTCATATACTTAATAAGAATATAAATAATAACCTCTATTCTAATTCTAAATTTTATAATGTATTTTTCAGATTATGGTCTCTACATTGTTTCCTGTTTCCAACTTTTCGTGAATGTAACCGACTAGGTTCTTGACGATGTTAAATATTTCTATGATCTCAATATATTTTTATATTCCTTCCATGTTCAGTGTTTCTGGGGCCATGATTTCACAGTTGTGTTGGGAAAGCCTTGAAACGACCTTTTTCATATTCTTAATATACTAGTTATCCTCTTTCAAACGATATTTAAAGGTATGCTACCTCTTAGGATGATAAAAAAAATTGAAATTTTAAACTTAGAATGAGTTTTTGTTCATCAGTGGACTACTATAATCCAATTAATCCATAATATTAAGAAATAATTCATTAAAATTAGTAAATTATTAATTTAATAGTAATATTGTCTAGAGAAATAAAGAGATTCTATTCTTTAGTCATGGCACCTGGTAAGCACAACTGATGAATATATACACTTGTTGACCATGTTTGAGAAAATTTATGTCCATTCTAAGAGGTAATGTCCTTTTAATAAAAGATTTTCATGTTAAATTAGAATTTTTTGATATTTTGGTTTCCTATACAATTTTTTGCTTCTTTGATGTGTATATATATGCTTATCTCTTGATCTATTCAATATAGAAGCTTAAAAGTTCAAATATAAATAGATGTATAATGTAATTAAATCTTTGACAGAAAAGTTTGGTCGGGCGTGGCACATCCAAGTCAAATTCCAATCGACACTTTATGATACCAGCATAGCTCATTTGTTAAAATTAGATCGTTGCATTCTGATACCTCATTCCTTTGTCTTAGTGCTATATTTTCTATGCCACTGGATCTCTTTTGTAAATGACAGTGTTCAAGGCTTTTCCATACACAACCCTTGATGTACTATATATTCTGTTATAAATCTCAATTGTTGTTTCTTTATTTTATAAAATGTTAAAGTTTTAAGAGGACCAAAAGACTTATTGACAACCAGTACCATCCCAGACTGGGAATCAGGGATCTACTTATGACAAACAAATATTGCTAGTTGTTATTTAAAAATTTTGACAATTTTAGTTTTTATACATGTATGGTTAACTTATATGGATTTCTATCTGGTTATATTTAGTAGAAAACAAAAAATATTCTCACTGTTAAAATAATGCTCAATACATCAATTGTTGAGCGATATAATAATATTACAACAGAACTTGAATCATGTTGTTATTCAAAGATTCTATTGTGTGATCTTCAGACAACTTCTGAAGATGAAGATGAAGATCTCACAGCATGTTTCAGGTTCTCTTTTGATAATTCTGGTATTGTTTATGTAAACCAACACCTGACCAATTATAAATGATACTTATGATTACAGACAGTTCATCTTTAAGGGGATTGTAAAGAGTTTTTCTGAGACTTTTTATAGGCATTAGCGACATTAAGTGCGTTGATTTGCACCATTCAAATGTTCAATTCCATTAAAAGTAATTGTTTTATTAATGATATCTGTGGGTCTTTGTGATGTCATAAAAGGCTTAATTGTAGACATTTGGCATCTGAAGATTGTGAAAATCTTCTATGAGTGCCGCCAATAAACATAAAAAATTTAGAAAACCTCTTTAATATATCTTTAAGCATTACCAGTAGCAATACAAAATGTAGGTACAACTCTTACTGTTTATATTTGTTTTAGTTTAACTTGTATGTACTATGTTTTATTTTGGTAGCTGATATTTGAAAGACTTTTGATGTTTCAAATTACATGCATAATTTGGTGTATAGTGTAGTCAACATATAGGTATTTCAGTATTACAAATTTTTATATTTAGTCTTCCATTTTTAGATATGTACAGTATATGTTGAATTGAAGCTATGTGTACAGCAATATATTATTGAATCACATATACATTTATATTTAATCTATCTTATTTTTAGAAATGTACATGTTATGTCATGTACAGTATAATTTCAATTGAGGAAATGTGTACATTTATTTTCTGATGTACAGTACTTCACATATATTTAGATATTGCATGTTATTTGATGTACAGTTTTTTTCCAATTGAAGCTCTGTGTACAGTACTATATCGTTTAATGTACAGTACATCAAGCGCAGCAAGATACTCAACAACAGGTTCTGTATTAATATTTATGTAATTTGTTGGTATACCAATGTTAAAACATGATTTCTTGAAGCATTTAATTTCTTTACTGGTTAAAGATTATCTTTTCTTTTAAAGGAATACTACCTCTTAGAATGGATGTAAAATTTAAAGTCTCAAATTTGGTCATCATGTGTATATATTCATTAGTTGGACTTACCAGGACGAAAGAATAGAATCTCTTTAAGGCAATATATCCATTAAACTAAATAATTTTTGAAAAACGCTTTTAAGCATGTTTAATAAACAGTTAGTTTAATTCGTTATTGCTTAGTTTTTATGGATTTATTAGATTATAGAGGGATTCTGTAGTATAGTTATGACACGAGGATGAACAAAGTCTTATTTTGGCCAAGTTTAAAAATTTCCATTTTTTGGTCAAAGGTAGTATATCTTTAACTGTTTATTGTTGGTTTTTAAGAATCAGGTAAGGTAAAGGTAAGGTTAAGAAGGTATTTCATTACAAAATGTCATATTCAACTGATTGGTTTATGGAGTTTTTTAGTGGTCCATTTTGATATGTTCCTCTGTATAGTCACAAATTCTATTGTCTTTGAATTGAGTTATGTCTTCAATTGTACTCTTTAGTTAGATTTCAAATAGTAACCCTCTTTCCTTTAGATATCAAAGAAGCAATAGATAGCAGATATCATAATTATATTTTTGATTTTTCTCACCACATTTTTTTTTGTAAAATTTGGCATGAAGCATTTACCTGGATGTAGTTACGGCCCTGTTAGTCCTTATTTTTATGGGTCCACTTATCACACTTTAGTCTCAGAAACAGGAATTTTTTAGCCAAGCCAATCAGTAATAGTTCTCACAGCTTACTGTCGAAATTTGAGCCTTAAAACAAAGTGTGTCCAGAATCATCCGCGATTTAATGTTAAAATGACGACTCATCAATTTAAGATACTCTGTGTTACTTCTGAAGACTATTAACATATATTTAAGAGTAAAATCAACCGCCCAAAATGTCGCATCTGTCGCTTTTACTCATTATTTTGTAGGCCAACCATTGCCAAAAAAATATAATTTTCTCAAATGGTCAAATTTTAAACCTTCTCATTTCTTCACAAGTTTTGTATATCATAAAAGTTATGATTTTTTCTAAATGCAATGTCTAACTAATGTATATTTTTATGTATTTTTATTGTTATTGTTTGAAATTGAAATAAATAATATTTTTATTCATTTTGCCATGTTTTTTTTTTTATGGCACGAAGGGAAGGAACGTTATATCACACATTAGTTAGAGGTCCTATTAGTTAGATGTCCCAAAGTTAGACATCCTATTAGTTAGAGGTCTATTAATTAGTTTGGTGTACCAATTGTTACACATGGTTAATTTGATTAGGCAAAGAGAGAATATTATAATAATGTACATAAAGGTTTAATACGCTTGCTCACTAACCTGAAGGTCCAGTGTTCAATCCCAGGATACAAATAATAACTTCGAATTTTTCAACCCAGTTTCCCCTTGTCAGTAATGCTGGTCGGAGGGTGGAACAATGAACCAAGGCCCCATGTGCTACAGGCTGACAGTTGGAAATCGAAAAAGAGTAGGCGCTGTCCGTTGTCGTAAGTACTGTCTTTTGAAGTTCAATGTTTTGAAGAACATTCCTACATAAATTGTTCCTAATAAAAGCTACAATATACCTGACCGGATAGGTACATATCTATATATGGCATAGCTCACTAATGCAGGTGGCTTAGACCGTAGTATTGACAATTACAGTAAGAAAGGGTTAATAATAAACAGTTATAGCAGTTATTAATTGAGTTAATCGCTATAAATCCCAACGATAAGCCGGCAATAATAGACTTAAATCATTATAACTAGACAATAAAACAGTTAGATTAGCAGACGATATTTGACCCGGCGTAATGATATCTTTTGATTATTATTAATAATAGCGTCATGGTTACCCCCATCAACCAAAAAAATCCAACAATAGAAAAAATTTCGGGGTATACCATTGTTTATTGTGTTATAGTGAATAAGTCTAATATTTCGAATTCTAGCAAATTTGGACGTAACCTAAACCCTGAAGAAAGTTAATCGAGATATTATTTTGTACTATATTTGTCTAATATTTGTTTAGTGTGTTATTAGGTTTGAAACTTCAGTCAAGTTGTTCTACAATGTAATACAAATACGCGTAAATCACGATATCTTATTTTAAAGGTGAAATTTTGGATTTTACATCATGACAATATAGGCTGTGGGCCGTTGAATCAAAACCAAGATGAAAGCGGACTTTTCTGAAAGGCCAACACCATATGGACAAGGAAAGAGAGTAACAACTTTACTCACTGAAGATGGTTGTTATTTCCCTGTGATATCTCACGCACCGTATATCGAACGATGTTATCTCCGAACAGCGCCTTTCCCACAACAAAGGACACCAATGGGCAGACATTCTCAAGAAGATTCAACATTTAATATAGGTGATGGAGGCAGATCTAAAACAGAATTTATAACAACATCAAAACAGGTATGGAGAACATAGATATAACGATTCATCTAGGGCCATATGGTCGGTCGTGAAATTGACGGGGGCATGTAGTAAGTGTTATACAGTTATATTGTCGGAAGCATCATACTGAAATGTTGATATAGATAAGGATTGGGATATAAAAATGCTATATTATGTATTTATGGGCCTAGTGGCCTCTGTAAGGTATATTATTGCAAGCGATACCTTAATCATAGTCACATCCATATTATAATACCAGTGCTTTCTGTTATAATCTACCAGAAACGAATCTAAGATAAATTTGCATAGAAACGATGAAAACTAAGCTCAATGCCTTGTAATCCTTTAAAATCATTAATGGGTATTTTAGACGAATTTCAGCGAGATAGCAACCATAAATAGCTATCAGAGACAAGCCTAGGTAGGTCAGCATGTTTCGCAATTGGATCAGCGCAGTTTTAATTTCCAAGAGACACTGTTCCAGACATTGATTTAACTTCGCAAGGTTTCAATATCATTTTACAAAATTAAAGTTTGTCTTCTGGTTCTTGCATTGATGGGCGTTTGAAGTGTTGACTATATTTACTTCCGTTGCGAATGTTGCTGGTGATCAAGCATGATTAGTAAAAATAGATTAGTGCGAATTTTAAATCTTCTCTATTTGAAATCTGTATAATGAAATGTGTTCCTATTTTCAGACTTTTGGTGGAAGTAAATCTTTAAATCCTGCTAAAAGACCACCACTTAGTCGTTCCATGCACATCTCACAGTTAGATAATATAATATCTAATAAATATGGTGAGAAGACTACTTCTAATGGCTTGAAGACTAGGTATAATGTAGCATTTAAAGAGAAAGATATAATACCGGTTAGTATCAGCTCACTCCAAAGACCCCTTCAATATCACTTTCCAACAACATTCAAGATGTGTATACTGTGGGCACCCGAATATGCACCTGCTTTCTATTTTGCAATCTGTGAAAACCAAAACCAAAGTAACATGATCACTCTATTCTTCAACAATGAACATGCGTGTAGCACCCAAGGGACGCATGCATCAGATTTAGACTTCATAGGCAACAATCATTATATGAGCCTCCGATAGCGATCTGACAAGTTATATGCACGGGGGATGCACAAAGGTCACCATCTGGTGCAAAAGCAGCATCAATAACTATCAGCAGCAGGATCAGAAAAGTCAGCTTCGGACACTCTCTGTTTTCAGTTGCTTATTTCTTTTCAGGCCAATATATTACACCAAAGTTCTCTGGTCAATAGAACAAATCAAACTAAAGGAACAGATGTATGTGAGGCTGTCCGTCCATCAACTACTGTAGCTACTTACTGGTCTCAATATGGTAGAATTCATAGTAAATTAGGATCAATGTTAGGTCCCGGTGTTCCCCAGAGTTACCCTATCAGACAACAGTACAATGTAATCACAGGTAAGTTTGGCTGCGCTCTCGAAAATCCACTGGTATTAGCGATGGTGACTTCATAATCTGGTCAATTTTTCTTTTAAATTATGAGGCTAGGCCATACGTCGAACGCAATATTAGAATGGTACAACTGTAAGCTGTATGACGTCCAACAGACAGACAATCCTCTTTTAAACGCATTAACATGTGGTAGGCCTATAAGTAGCGTTTCTAGAAATCATGGTTGCTGGTGCCACAGATTGTTCGGGTTGGCTCCAAGGCAACACCTTCCTTTTGTCAAAAAAAAATTGGATGGAAAAGTTGGCCCTCCTTGTAACAAATGTTCAAAGCATGGACGCGGTCCCAATTTCAGATAGAATTTTCCAATCGTTCGTTACTTATTATTACCCGTGTGTGCTGATGGTAAGTATCTTTTCATTACACGGTTCCGGATCATCTAATGCATCTATTAGCATCTCAAGAAATGATTTGCTAATTTAGTTTTTAATATTTTGTAGGCGAAAGTAAAGGGCCTGCATGGACAGAAGAAAATGCCAGGATATCTGGCAATAGAGTACTTAATTCTTGTAGACAGAAGTTAAAATCAACACCAATCATCAGCTGATCTCAAATTTTTAATTATTTGTATTGTAAATAACCAGTGTTTATTTGATATTGTTGCAATAAATTGGAGTGCCTTTATTCACATTTAAAAACTTAAAAAGAAGGCAGTCAACATGAAGGGTGAGGGGGCCGTGCAGGGTCACAAAATTTTCAAGGGGGACCACAGGAAATTTAAATTGCTCGAAGTGAATTGTGGGCAGAACTGAACGTTGGATTTAATTCCCATACGTGGTGACGAATATAATTTCGCGTCAGTTAGTGAAGTTATCGATACCCTTCACCCACCGCAGGCACGTTCTTTCATCAACTGTACGATGATTATCAACATACACACACCGCAGATAACATATGACAAGGTGCGGAATTGGCATTTAGTCCAATGTTACCAATAGCCGTCACCGTCAGAGATGTATCATTCATTGTCCAGATGAATACTTGGATTGGAGAACCGGAACGTATAAGGTGAAAATTTCAATACACTTCAAGAAATATCTTCAAATCTTTCAAACTTCCATGATACCTTCATGTCATCTCAATAAAGGCACAAACCCAAGCGCAACTTTTTAAAGTTTTCCACAAGTTTAAAGACCATGTACGACGTTGTCTAAATTCTGAATATATTGCACAAGTTTCTTTTCTAATAAAAGACCTGACACAAATCATTTACCCATATTTCAATAAGGCAAAATTCGTGTTAGAAATTCATTTAATGATTTTAACATACACTAAACATAACAACAAATAAATAGTAAACAAAAACAAGAATATAATATTATTATTGTATATTATGAAGGAATGTTAACATCACATAATAATATATACTATAGAATAAATAAGTATATACCTTTGGTTATGAGACTGGCAATTATTTCGTCAGAAATTCCATCTTTCACTCTAGAAGTTTTTAAATTCACATGTAACAAATTGGGACAGTTGTGCTATATCATTGAAACAGATACAAATTACTTTTTTAACAAAAACTTAAATTATAAATTTTACCTCCAAAAGAACATTCGACCATTGTTACAAAATTCCCAGCCAAAATAAAATGGCAAATGAATACAGGTAGTCACAGAATAATGAAACAAGATATCTCTTACTTAGATTGCACATCAAGGTGGAAAACTTATTAAAGAAAAGTTTAGAACCCTCAATAACACAATATAAATTATTTTTCCAAGATATCTGGATTCAGATACTAAGTAATCGATCAATAATGATTAGTTTCCCAAGATATCTGGATTCAGATACTAAGTAATCAATCAATGATGATTAGTTTCCCAAGATATCTGGATTCAGATACTAAGTAATCAATCAATGATGATTAGTTTCCCAAGATATCTGGATTCAGATACTAAGTAATCAATCAATGATGATTTGTTTCCATGATATCTGGATTCAGATACTAAGTAATCGATCAATGATGATTAGTTTTCCAAGTTATTTTCTGGATTCAGATTTTCAGTGATCAAATAAAGGAGATTTGACATCCCAATTGTTTCAATCAAAAAATTCAGATCAATTTTCAAATATCTGGATTCAGATTTCCATTTCTTTAAAGTATCTGAATTCAGATTCAAAGAAACAGCCTTTCTTTTAGACCCCTAGACACAAAATACTGCTTAATATATTAGCTCTTCAATCAGTGCTGATTAGATCACCAAATTCTGTGATAGTATCACTGCTTTCAGTAGCAGCTCTTACAGTTTCTAGATCTTCATCTTCTTCATCATCATCATCTTCACCATCTTCATCAAACTGATTAGATGTGTCATAGGTAAAGGTACCTCGAGATAGATCTACTTCAATAGGAAATACTATAGCTTCTTTCATCACAGCATGACATTCATTATGATATTTAGACATAGCTGATACAAATTTTTGTAATTGAAACACTATATCTTGAACTGCAAAAAAAGAGGACATATTTTCATTCATAGAGCTTACAAGCCTGCTTAAGATTTCAGAAAACTATTTCGTCTAGCTCAAAACAAGGTAACTCTTCTGCTATGATGCAGGCAGACTGACGGGTATTTGGCAAATTATTTAGAAAATTTGATCTGTACTATCAGTTTGGCAACTCATGATCTTTAAAGCCAAATGAGTTATTTTCAGTGCAAAGAGCTGGGAGATACACAGCCTGCTTAAATTGGACCCATGCTCTCTAACCAGCCAGGCCCAGCCATTCCTGCCACTGTTAGATTTTTCAACCTGGTTTAGAATTGCACCAGCATTCAGAGGATAATTTTTTTTTTTTATTGCTTACCGTGTTTTTGATCTAATAATTCCATTTTAACCATAACATCTGATCTCATTTTAGCAAATCTTGTTCTTGCATCTTGTCTACATCTTAATATCAATCTATAACAAAAATATTTTATAAACTCTAAATTTCACTTAGAGGAGACCATGAACTGTAGATGTCACCCTGAACTCTTGTGATCGTTTGTACAAGTTTGACTGTACATCATTACACATGTTGTCATGACAACAGGACATCACTAAACACATTTGATAATCCCATAATTTCCCAAAACATTTTATGAATATAGATTCATTTAGGTGGAAAAGTTGGTACAATATAATCAAAGTTGACATTGTATCTTTTATTCTGTAAACTGTCCCTAATAACTGATAATCTCCCTTTGTGTTACCTTCACAGGACTGGCTGTACTTGAAGTGCGCATTTTAAACAGTGACAAAAATTTTGGTGAACTTTAATAAATTATTAGCCATCAACATTTTTCGATAAATCTGGTCAACCAATGAAATTAAGCATCAAGAATATCAGCTAGATATCCCAGCATCTAGTATCAACCTACCTGTATTCATAATTACCAGTTTCTACTCTATATAATGGTTCTTGTAATGCAGCATAACTATATTCTTCATCATCCATTTCTTTTACTTTTAAACAATATGACTGTAACAAAACATAATCTTCAACCTTTTTTCCAGTCTTTGGATGTTTATCTAGTAATCATTGAACTATTTGCACAATTCTGTTCTGTCAAAGATCAATGGCTGATGTAGGCCTACCCTAATACTCTGGTAAATACATTGTTGTTACAAGAACAGAATAAATATCAATATCAGCTGATATAGCTTCTGTTATGCTGTCTGTATCTTCTTCCAATATTTTATAGGGTGCAAGAATATGTGGATTGGTTGAGCAACGAAAATTGAACCTCCACAAAAAATAATATTCAAGCAAGTGCACTACAAATGCTTAAAAGACCTGAAACTTACCAGGTATTCAAATTTAGCATCTAGATATTTTTTAACAGTAAGTCTGGTATCAGGAACTGCTTTATGTAGGAATGTATTCAGATCTGATATCATCTAAAAAATAAATTTATACAAGTTAATATCTTAGTTTTAAACAAATATAACCTATCTGAAACTAATGTCCTACTAATAAATGTTAATGATAATTGTACATGCCAAATTTCCCATTGATCATACTTTTGTTTAGCTCTTCACCTTTTATATTCAGTACAGATGATGTCTCCTCTTAAAGTGATTATAAAGAGATTTTCTTAATTTTTTATATGTAGCGGGGACACTGATAGCATCAATTTGCACCATTCCAATTTTCAAACATGGAGATTGCTAGAACAACAGACATCTAAATGAAAATTGGAATGGTGCAAATTGATGCTATCAATGTCCCCGATACACATAAAAAAACACACAGAAAACCTCTTTATAATCCCTTTAATTCAGCTAAAATGATGGACAATACCATGTACTATGACAGGACAGTTCCATTAACCTATGAACATGATCTATAGCACACAGTACTTGATTTATATACTACATATATATCATCAACTCAAGGGTCTAGTTTTGAAAGTTTAGAGACATGCTTTAAATTACTTACAGGTTTAACAGTTTTTAACATTTTGATTGCAAATTTCTCCATTTCTCTGTGAGCCTCACCAAACTTGGTGAAAGCTTCACTAGCAGCTGGTTGTGGTTCTCTAACACCTATACTGTTAAATACATCACCAAACGCTGTAAAATATATAAAACTCCTTTCATATTACATATTATCAGAGCCTAGGGAACTTTACAAGTCATTTCCTTGGTAACATCTGACAAATGAAGGTTGTGGGTTCTTATCAGCGTTAGCGTGTGAAAGTCTGGTGACCTTGATTAAATAAGCTCTAGTCATCTTTCATAATTATCCAAGTTGACCCAGCTGTAAATGAGTACAGATAAGACAGGAAGGATCAGTTTCAACAGGATCCTTATAACAGCTGATAGAAAGGATGCTTATAACAGCTGATAAAAAGGATGCTTATAACAGCTGATAGAAAGGATCCTTATAAAAGAGGGCATTTTCAGTTGAAAACCATTAAAGCCCTAAGTCATCCAAGACCACCATTACTTATTTAAGGCTGATATTAAACTATAAGATGACCAATATTACCTTTATGAGATTGTGAAAGTTCAAAGGTCGCTCGTAATAACTTTTTAGTCTGTTCTATTAGAGATGAATACATATTAGCACATGATTCTAACTCCTCTAACTTCTTTAATAAACCATCTGAAATATCATTATATGTTGATAACACTGCAGTGTGCAATAAGAGAAATTTTTGTGAAGACCACCCTTTTTCAATTTCTTTCTGTCAAGGAGTCTTTAACATGGACAGTCTGTAGCACAAGGAACCTTGGTATATTGTTCCATCAAAACGACTAGACGCTATTTCCGTGTCATCAACTCTGACCTGCATCACTGACATACAGAAAAGGAGTTGAAAAAATCCACAAGTATCAACACAACTTCAGGTTAGCGAACGCTTCAAAATAACTTCAGTAGATTTTTTCAAGTTACAAAAATTGTTCATACATACCATTACAAAGAATAGCTCTACTCAAGCCCAAGGCATCAGCTGTATTTGAACTCATAGACTCTACTACTTTATGTTTGATCTTCTTTAACACTGAAATGACAATAGCATTTTGTTATTAGTAATCCTAATAAAACTTCATAGATAGTTCCAAACTTGGACCACACTTCTATTTCTGTGTCTAATGCTTATTGAAATACACCTTTTGTTCGCATTACACAATCCTAGCGTTGGAGAGGGCAGAAATATGATTGGCTGGTAGTATCATCAAACAGATGAATGTTCAAGAGGTCCATATAAAGATTCTTACTGAAGTGGCGAAATCAAAAATAAAAGCTAATAAAAATTTTAATTAGACTGAAAGACCATGGAAATAGTCTTGTGACTTATTGATGTGCTACACAATAATAAATATACATGTACCTACCTATATCCAGAGATTTGCCTTGTACAGGATCAGCATGTAATTTATTATAGTTGATAGTAACATCACTCTGTAACATAAAATACTAAATACTATTGATTTAACATAAAACATGACATCTTGTCTGTAATTTATTATAGTTGATAGTAACATCACTCTAAAACATAAAATACTAATTTAAATATATTTCTTTTGACATTAAACAACATCTTCTTTGAGGGAGCAGAACTGCGAATCCATCATATTTGTTATTTCATTTTCATAATTTAAAAGAAATGTGATATTTCACACATCAAACATTCAATACGGTACATGAACAAAGTTAGTCTGGTGTTAACAGACCATAAATTCTTTCAACAACACAATTTCATCAATCACAGAAATGTGCTTTTCAGCTGATAGTTTAATTTTAATACTTTTAAGAATTAAAATTACATAGGTTCATTTGAAATTTATCTAGTTTGCCTACAATTAAATATTAGAGAAAATGAAAACCTAAACATTCAGGGTCCCTTTTCAACATTAAAAATCCTCTTTATTTATATGGTTTGCATTTTCAGGGGTTGATTTAGGTCTTAGAAATTTCACTTTTTTAAAATAATTTTAAAATAACTGTCAGCATGGATAAATACATTATTACGGCGTACTGATTAGTTTAGTGGATCAATTCCCATTTCTGATACCAGGGTATCATTTACTTACGAAAATGAAGAATCTGTCCCTTTGAATAAAGAATAATGATGGAAAAGACAGTAATGTACAATTCCAGGCTGATATTCTAGACATTCTCTGATGTATGGTTTTTATCAATAATATAACAACATCATTATTATCTACAGATGATTGCAGTATAAAGTTATATTATATCTAATGTCATAAAAGACACATAGTTGAATAAACAATATTCATTATTCAGATATGATTATAATCAATAAGTTTATATCTAATAATCATCCAAGCGAAGAGTATTGAAATGATTGTATTCTAATTTTGCATAACAACTAGAGCTGTTCTCTCATTGAACACAAAAATTTTTGTAACAGTGATTTTGTATTGGGTTTTTGGATCGTACTGGCTATTTGTACTGTCACTGTGTGTTCTCTATGGCTGCTAACAACAGTACGGATTAGATAGGACACAATAGGTGTGCTAGTTTTTGGGCTTTTTTTAAAAGCGAGAAGCCATTTTGATTTTCAAAAATAATATTAAGTGACTGAAATAATAATAGGAAATTCATCCTAAATACCACTACCTTAATAGATTGTATAGCTCTGGCTACTTCCACTTTAGTTCTTCCTTTCACAGACTGCCCATTAACACCTACTATCTCATCACCAGCTGCTAGAGAACCTTCTTTAGCTGCTGGTGTATTATCAAATACTTGTACAACATATAAACATGGACATAATGGTGCTCCACCTCCAATACTGATACCAATTAAATTCTGACCATCTTTTTCTAGTTTAACATGACCAGATGTTACTCTCATACCCCTACAAAATAATACATGATACATTACCTTAATTCTTAACAATGATATCAGCATGATATATCAACTTAAAGGGATTGTAAAGAGGTTTACTAAAAATTTACTGTTATATGAATTCATTAATAATGATGACCTTAAGTGAAACAAGCATAGTTTGCAATTAGTGACGTTTTAGTGGAATTGCAGGAGTTCTATAAACTTTCAATGTGTATCTGGAATATTGTTAGCATTGATTTGCACCAGTCCAATTTTCAGTAAGACATTTGTAGGTCTTGTAATTCCACTAAAGCTTTGGATAGCCAAACCCAAAGAGACTGTCATATTTCTTTGGTTTCACTATTTTACAATTTGTTATGTTATCTAAAAAGGGTTGTAACAGGACACACTTTGATCGATTAAAAAATAATTTCATAAGAACAGGACTGTGGAAGGGAATTTGTTTGATCAAAGTGGAGATAAAAATTTCTGATAAAAAGTAACAAAATTGTAATCTTATCATAATTAGATCTGTATTAATGAAAGGACAGGATTCACAATCAATATAATAAATAAATAACCACTAATCCCTCTAATCTTTCTAATTATTTAATCTGGATAAAGTTTCTAGGCCCCATGTAAACATGTGTTTACTAATATGATATATAAATAATTCTGTAGGGTGATCATTAATTTACAGGGTTTATGTATTAGGTCTATGAAGGTAGGATTGGAAAGGTAATATTGGATTCTTTGATAGTTTTTTTTTTATACTAAGTCCAGATCAAAAGGCCTTGGAGAAGTTATTTAACTGTGGTATGAGATGATTTTTTTCCATTTTTTCAAAGCAGTTTATCAAGCAGATTACATGGGATCTCAAAGAAAAGGAATTACAGAAGTGATCATCCCTTGAAATCATGAGAAATGTGTTTGTTAGACAGAATTTGTCCCCATAGTTTACATAGCAAAGTAACTGCTGTTACGCAAGATGTTGCCAGAATTACTAATTGAAAATTCTAAATGAACTACTTTTGAGTCACCGAAAACATGTGCAAACTGTCAATATATCTCAAAATCTGAAAGAACTGAAACTATGAAGTGAAGTGAGTGAACAAGTGCCCAATACAAAGCTATGTATAAAACTTGGTGAAGACATTCATCTGTCCATAAACTCTATGCTCTTATCAGCACAGACATCAATATAAATAACCATCATAACCATGAGATGAGCTCTAGTCACATAACAATAATAACAAAAAGTTTCTTACAACTGACGACATAAAAAATTTTTTTTTTCAAAATTTTTAAACACTATTACTCACATGGGATCTTCCCATGGCAGCTTTAAATGTTTATTCTTGTCAATGAAAAAGTCTTCTACGTCATTTTCTGGTAGTAAACTATATGCATGTGAGTTAGGTCCAGCCATATCCAAGTTGTATATATATGGTTCAAATGACTGTACCATTTAGTTACGATGAAAAAATACTTTTAAACACATAAGTTTCCTTTATATCCCTTTCTTTTGATTCTGATATATAGGTGGTTTAATAAAATCTCACTACAGACTATGTCACATCAAGGTTTATATAGTAAACAAGCACATAAACAATATCAAAATAGAACTAATAATGAAATGGTTGTTTTGGCTGCAGATTGTAGCCTAAACTGAATAGATCTATTCAACAAATAAAAGCAATTACAGTATGGTAGAATATAAGGTTATATATATTTATAGATAAGTGAGCTATGCAAATGCTATGGGTCTGTAATTATTAGAGAACAATTTTGTTGACACGTCAATAATGAGCTGGGCGACAGCTGTTTGAATGGCAGACTGGTAAAAATGTCACGTGATTTTCGCTCGAATGATGATAGTTTGGAGCATAGCCAAAAATTAATTTAACGATAAAAAGACTGAAACATTATTTTTAAAGCATTTAACCGTCAAAGGAAGTATCAGTCTATATCAATTAGGGGGTTGAATTTACGTTGGCCAAACGAGGCAGCAAAATAAAGAATTAAAGAAAACCGGGAAAAATCGATGAAAACAAATCTGTTTTGTATGAAAATTCTGGCGTCTAGTCGCATATCTTGTCTGAATTTGACTCTGCCAATTGAAAGAAAAGCATAATAGAGAATATACTTACAGTTTATCTTCCTCGATTTCATAATCAAGCATCATTTTGGAATATTTTTCAGTAAAAATTCAGCGAAAATGAAAATTGTCCACCATAACCGGAACTTGGCTAGAGTTAATATGTACGCATGCGCAGGTGACACATTCTGGTTAATCGAGAAAATTCTTGACCTACATTTTTTTAGGGGCGTGGTTTATTTTGACCAATCAACTGTCAATATTGAAAGCATTTGCCATTCAATTTGAAGCATTTACATGTGCATTTATAGATAGAAATTCAAATTTGAAACAAAAACCTTCAATATTATTTCAACAAAAAATCATGAAAATCATGTCCTTGTGATATGTATAACCGATTAGAAGTAATATTTCATCTTAAAAGCGTAAACACAATTTAAAATCATATTTATATTAGGGGGACATTCGATAAATTCAAAAGCCAAAATACAAAAAATGTAAACAAATGGCTGTTTATTTGGAGAATGCATTGTCCAAATGTAACGCTTTGATGCACTGTAACAATTAAAATTTGATCCAATTTCAAACTCATTCTTTCACAAACGTTGAGAAAGTAATCAGTCGAATTGACATGCCTGTTTACTTCCATAAAAATAAAATGATGACCGACTTCCCTCAATTCCCTAATATGGTGGTTCCCTAATATGGTTGTTGAAAATAAATCATAATTTGGTTTCTACGTGTCAGAGTCAGTTATTTATGAAGCTGATAAGTAGAGCTTTTATTCACTGTTGCTTTCATCTGTAGGAGATTACGAATTCAAAAAGGCAAACATATATCAGGTGAGGCGCTTTTAAAAATTTAGGCTACATGTTTCAAACCACGTGTGTTTGTTATTGTACTTTAAGCTAACCATTCAAATAGGTCTGCGGTTGTAGGCTACATAATATTATCAAAATTAGAACACTTTTGTTTGTGTTTACAGCTGATAGCCTATTGACATTATAAACCTGTTTAATAATCATGTTAAATTCGGTTAGATTTGGTTGGGAAACAAAAATATGATATCTATGAATTTAAGACATGATAATCATTTTGTAGGCCTATAAACGTATAGCCCGCTTGTTATTCGGAATTCGATCTAGCTTACATGCATAGGTATAGTATAGTGTTATTTACCAGAGGTAGGTGAATGATGTCTTTGGCTTTGTTTTCATTGCGTTAATTCGACTAAAAGTGCATGCCGAGACATATTGTTTTTTTCGTAAGGTGTATTGTTATGCATTTTTCGTGTACCTCTCCTAAATGCGCGACAAATTTAACGTGATCTGATAATGTTTCTCGCCGATATTTCACAGCTGTTACAAGATCAATATTCACTCTAATTTTATTCAGAACAGTACAACTGCAAATCTTCATCATCATCACGTCGTCGTCGTCGACATCATCATCATCATCATCATCATCACATAAAACGACAAACCTGATTATAATACATTATGCAACGGTACATACGATCCATTTCTATAATTTGAAAAACTTTCTATTTCATTTCAGAAGCTAGAGTAAAATTTT